CGATTCCTTTCTCTCGCTCGATTGGTAGGCTAGGGCGGCAAACGATCGACATTCCTTTTCTTTTCTTTGCCTTTTGGCTTCCTGAGGATGATGGGTGGCTGTGTGAGTAAGGGTGAGAAGTTTTCTTTGGCTAACAAGAAAAAAAGGGGAGAGTGCTCTTGAGAGAGTTCTTTAGAAGAAATTTGGCATCTACTTTCTTCCTCTTTCACGGTTAGAATACGGATCGATCCCTTTTGTTCGAAAGAAGTTTTACTTCCTCTCTGTCGTTCGAGGGATTTGCGGCTTGCAGAATTAAAAAAAAAACCAGGAAAGCTTTTGCGTGAGGCTTTTAGGAGAAATGTTTGTGGTGTTTTCTTCAATCTTATTTTAGTGTTTTGCTTTAAGTCTACACTAAAGAGGTATTCTTCTCCTCTCCTCTATTTTACATTATTTCGAATGGCATGAAATCTGGAAGCGTTTTATAAATTGGAAAAGCATGTTTGGGCTCATTTTTGTTTCTATTTGCTGCCCCTGTTGTTGAAGCATATGCTGGAATCTTCCTAATGCTGGAAATTATATTTGAGGGCTTATCTTAGCTTAATTTGTTGCCCTCCGTTGTTGGAACATATGTTGGAATCTTCCTAATGCTGGAAATTATATTTGCTGGAAATTATATTTGGGGCTTATCTTGCTTCTTTTATTGCCCTCCGTTGTTGGAACATATGCTGAAATATTTCTTAATGCTGGAAATTATATTTGGGGCTTATCTTGCTTCTTTTATTGCCCCGGTTGTTGGAATACATCCTGAAGTCATTTCAAAAGTTGGAAAATCATGTTTTTGGGCTTAATTTTGCCTCTTTGTGGGGGGGGCTTGGTTTGGCTTCATGAAATTTTGTTTAAAAAGATCCTGTTTTAGTTCATTTAATGAGATCGGATTTACCTTCTTGTTGGATTAAATGTTGGCTGAAAATATACCTATATTAAATGGAGATTTGACTTTGATTCTTTTGGAGTTTTCTGCCTTCGTTTTGAGCTGAATTAATTGGCTCGGTTTGCGGTTTTCTGCCTTCGTTTTTGAGCTGAATCAATTGACCTGGTTTGGAGTTTTTTGCCTTCGTTTTTTTTAGCTGAATTAACTAGCTCAGTTCGGGACTTTCTACCATTGCTTTAAAGCTGGTTTGTTTGGGGCTGGTCTGGTGGCATTTTATCTCTCTTTTTGGCGTTACCCGTGACCTTGTTTGGGTTTGTTTGGAGCTGGTTTGGTGGCTTGTGAAATAAAAAAAAATTTATATAATTTCATTTTGAAGAAAGTATGGGATTGATATAAATGTAATTCAATAGGGGTTTGGAAATGCACAAAATTGACATTTGGAAAGGATATCCTCCTCGGGATTGATCCAATCATTTTTCGTTTAACGAATTTAAATGTTTTAGACCGATACATTCATGATTTTATTTTAAACTTCACTGATTTGGCTTGGCTTTAAAAATGTATCGGTCTCATTTTCGTTCATTCTGTTTTCTTTTTTTTTTAACGGTCAAGTTAAAAATGGGAATTTTTGATTTAATTATATTTAGAAATGATTTATAATCTCAAGGGAAATATGAGGGAAACAGAAAATGAGAGAAAATTAAAATTGAAATTTGAATTTTTTGGATGATAAAATCTAAAGAGGAGATAGAGTAACGAACAATCCGCTTTTTCTTTTACATAAGGAAAAATGAATTGCAAATTGGAATACTAGTGAAAGAGAAAATGAGAGAAAATTAAAATTGAAATTTGAATTTTTTGGATGATAAAATCTAAAGAGGAGATAGAGTAACGAACAATCCACTTTTTCTTTTACATAAGAAAAAATGAATTGCAAATTGGAAGACTAGTTGGAATCGGAAGAAATGATAATTTAGATAACGATTGAGAGATTAGTGGACTTACACTTAGATCCCTTAAGCTTTGAATCAATTTAAAATCCAATTCCTTTAACTAGGATTGAAGCACAACTCACAATTATTTTGTAAAAACTATGAGTTTACCCCTAGATTTTAGAAGTCTGATGGTGAGCTAAGCTTAATCTAAAGATTTTTTAGGGTTAGTTGAGAGGCACTTAGTTACCTCATATTTCACTTCATTTTCCTTTTAACGAATTTAAATGTTTTAGACCGATACATTCATGATTTTTATTGATTTAACTTGGTTTTAAAAAAAAATGGATCGGTCTACTTTTTCGTTCGTTTTGTTTTGTTTTTTTTTAACGGTCAAGTTAAAAATGAGAATTTCCGATTTAATTATATTCAGAAATGATTTATAATCTCAAGGGAAATATGA